GAAAAAAAAGTAAACTTTCCAAGTCTCCGCAAAGTATATAACTCCCTATAAGGATGATTACATAAACATACATGTATATATATAGTAGGGACAGCATTTTGACGATGACCAAGGTTTAAAAAAGAAAAACAAAAAACAAAAGAAGAACAAAGTAACAAAAAAATATTTTATCTTAAAATCAGAGACATAGTTATTTTTTTCTTCCGTATTTGCGTTTTCGTTATTTTTGAAGAATCATATGGCGTAGTTGAATTTTTAGAAACATTATAGGCCTACTTGATTTTATTGAAGGAAAATTCACATTTAATATAGACAAAAAACGATGCTTTGATAAAGCTATTATCCCACTGTCTATGTATTTTCATAACGCCGTGAAAATGATGGACTGAGGCAACCTTGATTGGTCATTAACGTTCCTCCCAACCTACACTGAGTGTCATTTACATTAAGAACGGTAGAAATAGAATGATTTAATTGCTTGCCCGAGGCATTCCCCATTTCTACCATAACACAAAGTTCGTCGGCACGAAAGGCTGAAGTGTCCTCTTCAAGGGATATGTACATAGTGGCGGGAAAGAGTAAAATGAATAAAATGAATTTTGCCGGACGGACGATCTTATAAAGATATGAACTTACCGGACGCCAATCCAAATAGCTTCAAGGATTGGAAGGCCGGATTATCATGGAGATTTATATATAGTTTAATCCATCCATAGGGGATATAAAGAAATTGATGTCAATTTAGGGGGAAACGTCACTTGTGAATATAGTAGTTACATTAATGTGTATAATAAACGTACGAAATGTGGGCGGGAGGGGGTTGATTTTTTTTGCTTCATAAGTTCATGATTTCCCAATTATTCACACAATCATGGTTGTCTGGCACGATAAGTTTATATATATTTGTGGGGAGGGTGTGTGTGAGGGTTTTTGTTGTTGGGGCTATAATATTTAGGTAGGGGTATACATTGGCATTCCGGGTGATGCAAAACAATTTGCCAATTTCTGAATGCGCCATTGGAATGAAGATAACACATACTACATAAATAACAAGTGAAAAGAGAGGCACAAAAAAATAGACCAAAGAAATTATGATAGCTGAAAAATGAAACAAATCTGATGAAAAAGAAAGCGATAAATTAGAGAAAGATAATTGATTGCATGCAAGTATTTCATATCCGTTTTGATGTTGTTGTTGCTATTGTTGTTTGTAAAGTAGGTCTATCTTTATTCATACGGTATTTGAGTGAAAGGAATGAAAGAAGAAAAAATAAACGGAAGTTGACATGTACTTTCAATTTATTGTCCTCATCTGTAGAATGTATCAATTCACCATCTGTCTTAACTTGCAGAGATAAACTGCTGTAGAAATTATAGATAGCACCAAGGAGTTGATAGCACTATTCTGAAAATCCGCGATGGACATTATTTTCAAGGAAACTCTGAGATCTACCGTCATCTGTAATGTCACCTTGGCCACAAACCTAATTAGTCTCGTGTGGCAACTGTATCACATAAACATCTTAGCGTGTTCATTGACCCGTAATATGCCGTCATCAGTAGGAGACCTTTACGGCGAAAACATACACAGAAGATTTAAAGTATTCCAAACCGTTTAGGCACTAATTGCTAATGGCCTTCATGACGTCATCAAATGTGGCCGATATATTTGTTATGTGGACGTATCGCGTGTGACGTCATTGGGCTTGTTTTGGTGATGTAATGGAAGAAATTGCTTTCTTGTTAGGATTTCACATGTGAATCCATGCCAATGGTGTGATTTGGGTTAGGCTAAGTGATGGGTGTTAAAAGAAGGAGAAGGTGTTGCTAAATAACATGTAGTTTTATTACAAAGTTTTCGTGTAGAATTCTCGGTAACAGAGCAATGGGAAGGGATTAGGAGCAAGAATACCAGGAGGAGATGAGGTGAGAAGAGAGATAGGGAGAGAGAGAGAGAGAGAGAGAGAGAGATACCAAGGAAACACTCAACATTTCTGATAAAGTTCATGAAAGGTCTGGAGAACATTCAAAGGTTAAAAGAACTCGTTTTCACGTTTCAACTTCAAGGCCAGGGCGTCTTTTAATTCCGTGGTGGTCGCGGGGATACAAAGCGAGAAGGAAAAATATAAACACGACGGACAAAACAGTGGGAGAAGGGTAAGAAAAACATAAGTAAAAGAACCTTTCAGTTTAATTTGGTCATTCAGATGCTTCACCCTGCGGAATAGGGCCTGGTTTTCTTGCTATAGATTATCTTCTCTAAGGAATACATCTTTAATAATGTTAAAAGGAGGGAATCGGCTTGTATAATTCATATTCAAAATTGTTTTTTTTTTCATCGTGGTAATCCCTTAAAAGATGCAGGGAATAATTTGATGTACAGATCTGAAATTTGTTTAAAATATCACTTTATTATGCTTATGAAACAAATTATTGACTTTTTGTGAATGAATTATTGTTTATATTGAAAGGCCACCGTCAATATATACTTTAGCAAATGTAGGTGGTTTTTTTTTCTAAAAAAAAGACAGAAATTTACAATACACAAATCCATACAAACAGATGGTCAGTAGTGTATTTATTACCTCAAGGTTATAAGACCGAATTGCAAATTTATCCTTTCATACACTTCAAATATTGACATCTTTTCTAGCTAGTCTGAGTGATTTTCTCAAACCATTTCGACCAATATCTCTTCTGCTTTCAATTAAATGAATTTGTTTAAGGGCTGGACTTGCTCTATAAAGTAATGACTTCCAAAGTATAAAACCTAGTTTAAATTTAAACCTGATGGCTGAGACGAACGTGCTCTGATAATGATTCGCTTTTTGCTTATTTCCCTAGATATCCGGTCCCACAGAAACCGGCACAGCAGAGATCGCATCGAGTGGAGTGGTGTTGGGACTCTTTCTACAAACCTACAGAGTTGCCTCAAAGTATCTCTCTGTAAAAGGTCAGTGTCAGACTAGACTAAACAAATACACATTAAGTGGATGTGTTACAGGAAATAAGCAATGAACTATTTCTCACAGAATATTTGAACAGATCGTTCTTGATGATGAGCAGGAGCAGGAGCAGGAGCAGGAGGAGGAGGAAGAGGAGAAGGAAGATAAGAAGGAACGGAGGAGGAGGAGGAGGAGGAGTAGGAGGAAGAAGAGAATGAGGAAAGGAGAAAGTGGAAGACGAAATGAACGATGAGAAGCTGGAGGAAGAGAAGGAGGAGGAAAAGAAGGAGGAAGGGGAGGCAATATAGGAGGAGAAGATAGAAGAAGATGATGATTTTGTTAATAGATATTCTGACAATCATTGACAAGTAGAAATATAATCATACCAAAGGTAATATTAAGTTTATTATGATCGCATAGGTACACTAGCACTGAGGAATCGTATTTAGTCGCCTTGACGGTTTTTTCGTTCTTAATTTTTGTTCTTTGGGGCAGATAAATGTCTGCTATTCAATGCCTTGTCTTTTCCTAACCAGTCAATTATGTTGACGCTGAAAACAATGTTTTGCTAGTCATGAAATAGAACTTTAATGCTCATTTATAGTCTGCATTTATAGTCTGCAACCTCCCTTCTTTCGAAATCAGTTTCATTGGAATTCACTAACTTTAATATTGACGCACCAAGTTTGAACAACAAACGCAAGAAACATGTCCTGCTAAAATATACAAAAACATCTAGACACATGTCTATCTCTTTTTCTCTCTCTCTCTCTCTCTCTCCCTTTTCTCAAATGATTCCGTCTTCCATTCCCGCTTTTGGTCTTGTATATCCTTGGAAATGAGCATCGAAAAAGTCTTCATTCATCATATTTTTATTTTAGTCTATTCATTCTTTATTAGATTTGTATCTCCTTCTTTAAAATGATTTCTAGTTTTTCACTTTTAATATAGGGGAGCAGAATGCCATCGAGGAGTGATTTTTGTTTCCTTTTACCATATCAGTACGTCATTGTTTCATGAAAACCATATAAGTCATCATAGCGTCGGGATGGATTGACCCCATATAGAATACAAATCACATTAATTTCGTCTCCCAACAACCATGATAATCATCATCCCCCTCCGATGATACCGTGTTAGGACTAAGCTGGTGTCAAAATGCCATAATTCCCCCTCATTCGGGGGTAGGATGTTGATACAGACACACTACCGATCGTTCCATGGGTGTTTAAACGGACGCTGGGGGTACTAAGCTTTAATTGCATTGTGTGAGGAAAGAACAGTACCGCCATGCACATCATGCATAATTTATCCGACTTTCGTCGAAGAGATGAAATAAACTGAGATTGAACCAACCCAAACCAACTCTCTGACCCTTCTGTGATATTTACATGTTGCAATCAGCATCAAACTTTGATATAAGGAAAATGGAACTATGTTCATAAGATTATTTACAATCGGACTTGAATCACTCTTGTCATACATATTGACAGCGGAATCTCTAGATCATCATCTCTCTCCCCGTTTTTTCTTCTTGTTTAATTAAATTCTGATTTTTTTTCTTCATTTATTGTGTCTTATATCATTGTTATTATATAATTATAATCATCACCATTAGTAACGTCGTCGTCATCTTGAGAATTATGATTGATTATTGTCAAAGTTGTACATTTCAATACAATCGCTTATTTATTCTCATCAGAGTTTCTTAATGCAATTTGCGAGCATAACGATTTGTCTTTCTACGACTGCTACATAGGCGATATGACCAGTGTTCCATCCCATCCAACAGGCTGACACGGCAGGTACGTGTAAGAACAACAAAGATAGAAACCCTACGAACTATCAGTGTCATAGATAGGAGAAGTGTAATCAAAACCAATCTTTCTACTCGGAAAGAGGGCTTGAAAATGACCTATGACGGCGAATGGAATCTAAATAAGGACACCGTCTCACGTAAAAGACCAGTGTTTGGTTTTTTAACTTCTGATTTATTTAATCGGAGACCTTTTTCTTGCGTGAAACTCCTTCTCGCCTGAGATTTCGGGACATCCATCATGACGCTTTGACGTTGCCGAGTTTGATACCAAGCAAATCCCTTAGCGATTTGACGCGTCTGTATGATCAAGATGAGAAAAGGTCAATCTCTAGTTCAATAAAATATCTGGCATTACACTTTAAGATCGTGAGGTGAAGTACAAACAAAAGGTGTCAATGTCTAATTATTGTTTGTACCATTCTATTTGTCCTCTATGTATTTTTGTAATTATCTTTATCAAAATAATGGCAGAGGTAGCTAAATTTTGAATCCATCTTTGTACCAAATATTACGTATAATTGTTGTGGTAAAAGCTTTTGTTTCATTATTTTCCTGTTGTTTGTTCAGATATAAAAAGAATATCGCAGAAAAGTCTCTAGAGGTATCTGATGCGCCGTATTATGTATATTTTCTTTACAGAAATTAAAATGAGCCTTCGTGGAAAATAGGTAAATAAAGTAATTTACACAGCATGAAAGCAACATAGAAGTGTTTCTTCAAATGTCCCTTCTCCTCAAGAAAGTAATGAAGAGCATTCCTGTGATAATGGGCTCCATGAACCATTATCATATCTTTAATCACAAGGGCTCCCTAACAAGGAACTTCAAGACAAGCCCAATCACGAGATGGATCAGATTGAAGAAAACAATTTTTCATCAATATCTTATGCCAAGTTCATGAAAATCGGTATCCTCTTTGTATCTTCTTACCATGCTTACATCATAATGTTATACGTTCTACAATTCTTACGGTCTATGGAACATTAGGAATCAATAACTGAATCTTGGACCAAAACTTAGATTTAAAGATTAGACTTGACCACAGTTCATTGACGTCAAATTTGCTACTGGCAATCTATTTTTCTGTATGTGGCACTATTGCTTCCATAGGAGAGACCTTGATAACTTGCTTCTCTCCCTAGCGAACATTCTTGAGTGACCATTGAGTAGGTGAATACATGGCACACGGACAAAACAATACACTTTGCAGCGCATCGGAGTCGGGTTGGAATCATCTGATAGTTAGAAATTATACTAGTTGATGGAATTGACTGATTAGCATCAAGTAAAGCGTACGAACATCCTGTTCTATCAGTAGTTGTTGAGGCTGTAGGATCCAAAGAACTATCAACGTTATTTTCCGGTGGCTTGGTTGTGACTGTTTCAAAACTCGCCAGAGGCAGTTCTGTAGTTGGCATGACCGTCGAAACGTCAGATGTCGAGGTAATTTCAGTTGTCTCCTGTACATCAGTTGTAAGCAATTCTGTTGTCGGTAAATCAGTCGTTTGAACGGTTGTCCTTGAAGTTGTTGGTAATTCAGTCGATGAAAATACCGTTGAAACGTCAGATGTTGTAGTGATTTCAGTCGTATCATGTAAATCCGTCGTTAGCGACTCTGTTGTCGATAAATCAGTTGTCAAAATGGTTGTACTTGAAGTCGTCGACAATTCTGTAGTTGGGGAAACCGTTGGAACGTCAGATGTCGGAGTGATTTCAGTTGTCTCTTGTGTATCAGTGGTAACAAACTCTGTAGTCGGTAAATCAGTCGTTTGAACGGTAGTCCTTGAAGTTGTTGGTAATTTAGTCGATGAAAATACCGTTGAAACGTCAGATGTTGTAGTAATTTCAGTCGTATCCTGTAAATCAGTCGTTAGCGACTCTGTTGTTGGTAAATCAGTTGTCAAAATGGTTGTTCTTGAAGTTGTTGGCAATTCTGTAGTTGGCGAAACCGTTAGGACTTCAGATGTCGGAGTGATTTCAGTTGTTACCTGTAAATCAATTGTTAGCGACTCTGTCGTCGGTAAATCAGTTGTCAAAATGGTTGTTCTTGAAGTTGTTGGCAATTCTGTAGTTGGCGAAACCGTTGGAACTTCAGATGTCAGAGTGATTTCAGATGTCTCTCGTGTATCAGTGGTAACAAACTCTGTTGTCTGTAAATCAGTCGTTTGAACGGTTGTCGTTGCAGTTGTTGGTAATTCAGTCGATGAAAATACCGTTGAAACGTCAGATGTCGGAGTGATTTCAGTTGTTACCTGTAAATCAGTTGTTAGCGACTCTGTCGTCGGTAAATCAGTTGTCCAAACGGTTGTTCTTGAAGTTGTTGGCAATTCTGTAGTTGGCGAAACCGTTGGAACTTCAGATGTCAGAGTGATTTCAGATGTCTCTCGTGTATCAGTGGTAACAAACTCTGTTGTCTGTAAATCAGTCGTTTGAACGGTTGTCGTTGCAGTTGTTGGTAATTCAGTCGATGAAAATACCGTTGAAACGTCAGATGTCGGAGTGATTTCAGTTGTTACCTGTAAATCAGTTGTTAGCGACTCTGTCGTCGGTAAATCAGTTGTCCAAACGGTTGTTCTTGGAGTTGTTGAACATTCCGTAGTTGGCGCAACCGTTGGCATTTCATATGTCGGAGTGATTTCAGATGTCTCTTGTGTATCAGTGGTAACAAACTCTGTAGTCGGTAAATCAGTCGTTTGAACGTTTGTCCTTGAAGTCGTTGGTAATTTTGTCGATGAAAATACCGTTGAAACGTCAGATGTTGTAGTGATTTCAGTCGCATCCTGTAAATCAGTCGTTAGCGACTCTGTTGTCAAAATGGTTGTTCTTGAAGTTGTTGGCAATTCTGTAGTTGGCGAAACCGTTGGCATTTCAGATGTCGGAGTGATTTCAGATGTCTCTTGTGTATCAGTGGTAACAAACTCTGTAGTCGGCAATTCAGTCGTTTGAACGGTTGTCCTTGAAGTTGTTGGTAATTCTGTCGATGAAAATACCGTTAAAATGTCAGATGTCAGAGTGATTTCAGATGTCTCTCGTGTATCAGTGGTAACAAACTCTGTTGTCTGTAAATCAGTCGTTTGAACGGTTGTCGTTGCAGTTGTTGGTAATTCAGTCGATGAAAATACCGTTGAAACGTCAGATGTCGGAGTGATTTCAGTTGTTACCTGTAAATCAGTTGTTAGCGACTCTGTCGTCGGTAAATCAGTTGTCCAAACGGTTGTTCTTGGAGTTATTGACAATTCCGTAGTTGGCGCAACCGTTGGCATTTCAGATGTCGGAGTGATTTCAGATGTCTCTTGTGTATCAGTGGTAACAAACTCTGTAGTCGGCAATTCAGTCGTTTGAACGGTTGTCCTTGAAGTTGTTGGTAATTCTGTCGATGAAAATACCGTTAAAATGTCAGATGTCGTAGTGATTTCAGTTGTCTCTTGTGTATCAGTGGTAACAAACTCTGTAGTCGGTAAATCAGTCGTTTGAACAGTTGGCCTTGAAGTTGTTGGTAATTCAGTCGATGAAAATACCGTTGAAACGTCAGATATTGTAGTGATTTCAGTCGTATCCTGTAAATCAGTCGTTAGCGACTCTGTTGTCGGTAAATCAGATGTCCTAATTGTTGTTCTTGAAGTCGTTGAAAATTCTGTAGTTGGCCAAACCGTTGGCATTTCAGATGTCGGAGTGATTTCAGATGTATCTTGTGTATCAGTGGTAACGAACTCTGTAGTCGGTAAATCAGTCGTCTGAACAGTTGTCCTTGAAGTTGTTGGTAATTCTGTCGAAGAAAATACCGTTAAAATGTCAGATGTCGTAGTGATTTCAGTTGTCTCCTGTATTTCGGTCGTAATTGACTCTGTTGTTGGTAAATCAGTTGTCCAAACGGTTGTTCTAACAGTTGTTGGCAATTCTGTAGTTGACAATACCGTTGAAACGTCAGATGTCGGAAACATTTCAGTCGTCTCCTCTATTTCGATCGTAAGCGACTCTGTTGTCGGTAAATCAGTCGTCTGAACGGTTGTCCTTGAAGTTGTTGGTAATTCTGTCGATGAAAATACCGTTAAAATGTCAGATGTCGTAATGATTTCAGTTGTCTCCTGTATATCAGTCGTAAGCGACTCTGCTGTCGGTAAATCAGTTGTCCTAAAGGTTGTTCTTATAGGTGTTGGCAATTCTGTCGATGACAATACTGTTGAAACGTCTGATGTCGGAGTGATTTCAGTTGTCTCCTGTATATCAGTCGTAAGCGACTCTGCTGTCGGTAAATCAGTTGTCAAAACGATTGTTCTTATAGTTGTTGGCAATTCTGTAGTTGACAATACCGTTGAAACGTCAGATGTCGGAAACATTTCAGTCGTCTCCTCTATTTCGGTCGTAAGCGACTCTGCTGTCGGTAAATTAGTTGTCCTAAAGGTTGTTCTTATAGTTGTTGGCAATTCTGTCGATGACAATACTGTTGAAACGTCTGATGTCGGAGTGATTTCAGTTGTCTCTTGTACATCAGTCGTAAGCGACTCTGTTGTCGGTAAATCAGTTGTCAAAACCGTAGTTCTTGGAGTTGTTCGCAATTCTGTGGATAACAACACCGTCGAAACGTCAGATGTCGTACTGATTTCAGTTGTGTCCTGTATATCAGTCGTAAGCGACTCTGTCGTCGGTAAATCAGTTGTCCAAACGGTTGATCTTGATGTTGTTGACAATTCTGTAATTGGCGTAACCGTTTGAATTTCAGACGTCGGAGTGATTTCAGTTGTCTCTTGTGTATCAGTGGTAACAAACTCTGTAGTCGGTAAATCAGTTGCCTGAACGGTTGTCCTTGAAAATGTTGGTAATTCTGTCGATAAAAATACCGTTGAAACATCAGATGTTGTAGTGATTTCAGTTATCTCCTGTCCATCAGTCGTAAGCGAATCTGTTGTTGGTAAATCAGTTGTCCAAACGGTTGTCCTGGAAGATGTTGGTAATTCTGTCGATGAAAATACCGTTGAAACATCAGATGTTGTAGTGATTTCAGTTGTCTCCTGTAAATTAGTCGTTAGCGACTCTGTTGTCGGTAAATCAGTTATCCTAAAGGTTGTTCTTGAAGTCGTTGACAATTCTGTAGTTGGCGTAACCGTTTGAGTTTCAGTCACCGAAGTCACTTCATTCGTCACTGAGTTTTGTGTATCAGTGGTAACAAACTCTGTAGTCGGTAAAGCAGTCGTATGAACGGTCGTCCTTGAAGTTGTTGGTAATTCTGTCGATAAAAATACCGTTGAAACATCAGATGTTGTAGTGATTTCAATTATCTCCTGTACATCAGTCGTAAGCGAATCTGTTGTTGGTAAATCAGTTGTCCTAAAGGTTGTTCTTGAAGTTGTTAGCACTTCCGTAGTTGGCATAACCGTCGAAATGTCAGCTGTTGAGCTCATGTCGGTCGATATCATTGCATCTGTTGTAGAACGTTCTGTAGTATCTTCTGTTGTTGTGAACGTGGTTGGCGAATGGGTTGTTTCAAGGTTCACACTTGTTGAGTAGCTCTCTGTTGCAGTGGTAGTCGCACTGGTTGCCGATGTGGTATAGAGAGATGAAGAGGTTGGGGCATTGCTTGTCGTAGTGGCCGGTGTTGTCTGAGTCGTGATCGTGGATGGCTCTGTTGTAATCACATCTGTATGCAACGAAATGAATAATATGACAACAAACATGTTTATCATGGAAGTCCAGGGCATATTATCCCATACGTTACTAACCATAACAAAGATATCAGTGTTTCTGATGATCGTATCAATGTAATACCCTTAATAAAGTTTAGCTCACAGAAAAAGGATAATGATGTTTTGCTGCTGATCTTATTAAGGCTTCAATGATTACACAAGGGACACAAAGCAACCAAATACCTACATTCCACATTTCTTTTTATGCTTTTAATTTTAGTTTGCCAGTGCGTCGTACCACAGACATTATTTTTAAGTCAAAATTAAAATGGTGCACCAGGAGCCCTAATGCAGAACTCATGTTTCTTTCTTATACATAAATTATTCTCGCTCTTTCTCTCTCTCTCTCTCTCTCTCTCTCTCTCCGTCCGTCTGTGTTTTCCGCTCAGATTTTTAGAACCCCCCCCCCCCATTTTTCTCTATCGCCTGCTTCATATGAAGTTCAACATGTATTTCATTTAGGTGATAATTCATCTTAGATACATAACTCTGTTACTCGGTAACAAACCGAATATGATTTTTTTTTTAATAAGACTAGATTTTCGGACCAAAATGTTTGCTAATAATAATAAGCTTGACGAAAAAAAAAAACTCTCATTATTTAAAGCCCCACTGTCCTACTTGTAGCTAATTGCTCCCTCTATATAGAAAACTTCCCAAATCGGTGCCTGTTGGTCCCCCATGATCCTCTTTTCTTATGTCAGTTGAGATCTGAGTTAATGAGATAGCCACGTGTCATTGACCTCGCTGTGTGGTCTAATCCCTTCTGGCCCAGTAGTAACGACGGTCTTTAAAGGTACTATGTCCCATTTGCAGGCCAAAAAAATGAAAAGGTTAAATTCCAACGGCATTTGAAAGATAATACTAATTTAGAACTTCCCTAAAAAAAGGGGGGGGGGGCTTGAAAATGTCTTTTAGTGGGAAAATAACGACTATTAGTTGTCGAATCGACTTAAGAGCTATAGAGCCAGTAAATATTTTCAGACCATTGTACCGAATGGTCGTACGTTTTATGCTGCGCAAAGATTCAATCAGTTTAATTTTGGCCATTTCAAGAAGTGGGTTATTGATGTACACAGATGCTCATGTACCAGTTACAGCTCATTTTATGGATGTTATTACCAAAGAAGAAAAAAGTCAGTCAGTCACTAAATAGTGTCTGACAGTGAATTAGTCTAGCAAGTAAACGGTTTCTTGTGCATAATTTGAATATTAAGACACTGCTAACGTTTAAATTTCACATATAGGACATACATGACATATTCATAATTCCTGCAAAGTTCTACATAATTTAATGTTGGCTTCAAAGGGGACATTGTATATTTAAAGGTCCTCACATTTTAAAATATGCCAGCAAACTTTTAAAAAATAACAAAACATTCATATTTTGCAATTACTGGATTATATAAATATTCACCTAGCTATTTACTCACACCCCACGACTAATATCTTTAAATATTCGAACATACAAATATTTTCGAACATCTCACCGGGTTGCATTTCGCAAAGGACGCCATGGGCTGCGCCACACGGCTCGTCTGATAGAACGCCCCCTGTAGCCATAATTGTACAACCAAGACCAAGCTAAATAAAACGAAATAGAATCAGGATAAAGGCTAAATAACAACAACTGTTAAACGCTTTTATTAAACACTTTTCTTTTTGCATGTGAAACGACAAATAATAATTAATTCATATTATGTCCAATGAGACATCATAAGACTGTTAAGAATAATCGTTACTCTTCATATTACACCAATTAAAATAGTAATCGTGAATTATTTGTAGATGTAGAGTTGGGTTCGAGATAGGTATTTACATCGGTGGTCACAACATCACATTAACCATATCAATGATGTTTGAAAGGTATGGTATAGAACAAATCGGATGATAAACTTTTATTCGGATATAAATCAGACTTCCTTATGCATAGAAGGCTTTTTATTATTCAAGTAACGCGAGTAACGGGATTCATTTTATTTTTGAGTATTATTTTATTTCATTTTTTTCATTTATTTATTTATCTATGTATTTATATATTTCTACGGTAGTTATTGATATTTTGGGGGGGTGGGGGAGGGGGGCTTTTTGGAAATCCTTGAGACCTGCGCCTTGAGATATCTACTGATTAAATACAAAAATAAGTAATAATGCCAAGAATATACTTTGATTCCATGGAGATTAATATTCATTTTTACAGACTAACTTACCGACGGCATTCCTATAGAGGAGTTTACTGCCCAAATAGCCACTGGATACGGCAGCCCGGATGTGGTCCCAAGCTTGTTCGAGAAGTACGTATACACCTGAGTGACTTCTTGCTGGGAGGCGAAAAGGGCTATGGATCCATCCGCGGCTTTTCCGGGGCAGTAACCCTCTGCATCTACCGCTGTCAACCTATACATGTAGTGATCATGCCATGAGTAACAGGTGTTCGAAACCAAGTCCATATCCACGGGACAAGCTGTGAAAACGAAGGATAGATTAATTAGTCATTAATTTTGCCAAAGAATTCGTTTACAGGGTGACAAAAAATGAAAAGATGTATGTGTATTACAATGGTTTACAATGCACAATAAAATAGCAAATAAAAAACGACACAATGGGTAATGGTTCTAACGCGGGGAGAGGGGGGGGGGGGGGGTGAGTACCTCGCTTAAATGTAATCTTGTAAAAGGGGGTTAAACTCCCAAACGCTACTGCTATATTTAGGACGAACTAAAGACGCGTGTATACCGTGTACATGTCTCTCAAATAAATGTTGAGTCACAAGAGAGAATAGAGAGAGGGGGAAAGAAAAGGAGGGAGAAAGACAGAAAGGGTGGGTGATCGAGATCGAGATCGAGAGAGAGAGAGAGAGAGAGAGAGATAGAGGGGGGAGGAGGGGGAGAGGGGGGGGGGGGGGAGAGAGAAAACAAATGACAAACAAAATGTCGATAAACTTACCTCCTTGTCCATAGTTAGGTCTGGATAAAACCATTAAGATAACCCAAATTACTGCTGACATCATTATGACTTTCGAATCCTCTATTTCACAATATTCATTACGATGTTTCTGATAGAAAATAAATAAATATCCGACGAATCGTAGTTGCTTTTAAACAATTCTTTTCGATAGTGTCGAAATGTGCTGAAAAAACAAATCTATCAGTCTCTAAAATTCCTTCTCTCTACAATTGTCGTCATAAGGTTCTGGCACAAAGAAAACAGTAGGCCGTAGAGAAGTGAAATGCACTGACATTGCCATTTAAGCAGCCTCATTAGATGCATAACGTTATTAATGTTTCTGAAACAAAAATTAAAGAACGCCTCCGAAACCCTGGCAACTGAACTTCATATTTCAAATATCCTTTTGTAATGGTAGCGCAGTTGCAATTTCCTGTTTTTTATACGTGAACTGGACAACAGAACAATTAAGTCACGGGCATTTTTATTCAAGCTCTTATTATTATTAACTCCATCAAAATGTAAGGATGATTATATTTCAAATTGTATTTGTATAATTTTTATCATCTGTTGTTTGGTGACATGGGGTGTCGGATGTAACCTTCGACGGTTAAAAATAACTAAACAAAGAACAATACCCTTAATGTACTTTTAACGTTTTTCTTTTCTTTTTCCGAAGCAATTTACTGTTATTCATATACACGTGAAAGAAACACCAGAACAATGAAGTCAAGCTATTATTACCAACTCCTCAAAAATGTTAGAAATTATAATAATATGCCTAATTGTATTTGTACTCGACTTTTATCCGTCAGATGTTTGGGTGATATAGGGTATGGATGTAAACTTCGACAGTTAGAAATACCTAAACAATCATTTTAAAAAAATGTAAGAGCCTTTTTTTTTTTTTTTTTTTTTTTTTTTTTTTTTTTTTTTTTTTTTTTTTTTTTTTGGGGGGGGGGGGGGGTGCCTTCAGACCATGCTGAAAATTTAAAGAAGCATTCTATACTGCCCCCCACAAACACACACTCTGAAACGATGCGGATGGTTTGATTTGAGGTACATTTAACTAGATCGCTAAGACTTTTGAAAAATCATCCTCCTATAGGGCAATTTCGTTAGCTATGTCCATCACTGTTTGAAATGTGCGTACCGTACAATGACGCATTACATAACCCGAGCATAATATCTAAGGAATATATAAATTGGTATTAGAATCATCCTTGGTTTGATTTTACGAAATTCTTTGCGATCGTATTAATTTATTTTACTTTCCAGTTTGTTGCTGTCAGTACCCTCGTACGAATTTATACCATTTGTCTCCCTTCCTCTTCAGATGGTCGCAAACCTAAAAACTAAAATTATATTGAATACGTATTTTGTCTATACTTGAGGCTCAATCAATCAATTAAAGACAAGGTAATAGAAGAACTTTTAAATTCGACCCGAATAGTTTCACAGTAGAACCTTTCTTAAAAGCACAAAAATGGGTTGGTGAGACTTGGTGAGATAAATGCACAACTTAAGTCGTACGAGGGCGCTCTTTCATTATTCACTGCAGTGCCATTGACTGACTGAAACTGATTGCTGTTCACTCTCTTCACTATATACATCCCCCCCTAAGAATATCCCAGCTGTAAATGTGATCATAATGCCAATATGATTATTCTCATAGTAAATTAAAAAAATTATTAAGTGAAATAGATAAAGCAGAGAAAAATAAGAGCAGACTTTTGTTAACCAGGGTATGAAATGAGCTTTATCAAATGTTAACCGTCCCCCCCCCCCCAAGAATGACATTAGATTTCATTCTTTGACGGTCCAATTTTCGGAATTTATCAAAGTCTCACCAGTGTATAGCATTCATCAGATCAAGTTTTAGCAGATCAGTAATTGACTTTTGAAGCAAAGTCGATAGTTTTTATTCCTGACGTTTTGTTAAAAGGACACAACTGAATTAAAATTACTCGGCTTATTAATATGTTTCCTTTGATTTATCCTTAAATAAAAAAAATTTAAAAAAATCTTTCTGGGGATACGCTAAACACCCACGCCCCCTCCCCCTCCCCTCCCCTAAAAGAAGAAAAACAAATAGAGCAATTAGTATCAGTCTCTAATTTTGTAAAACTGTCGCTGTGAAATTTATTATTGTCATTTTTTCTTCTTCAAATATTATTAAATTGTGTGAATTATTAAAGGTACTATGTCCCTTTTGCAGCCAACCTCAAATTCTGTAGAACTTTGCAGGAATTATGAATATGTCATGTATGTCCTATCTGTGAAATTTAAACGTTAGCAGTGTCCTAATATTCAAATTATGCAAGGAAACCCGTTTACTTGCTAGACTTCACTGTCGGACACTATTGAGTGACTGACTGGCTTTTTCTTCTTTGGTAATGACATACGTAAAATGAGCTGTAAAGGGTACATGAGCATTTGTCTACATCAATAACCCACTTCTTGTGAGGGCCCAAATTAAACTGATTGAATCTTTGCGCGTCATAAAACGTATGGCCATTCGGTACAATGGTCTGAAATCAAGACTATAACTTATTGGCTCTATAGCTCCTAAGTCGATTTGACAACTAATAGTCGTTATTTTCAGACATTTTCAAGCCCCACCTTTTTTTAGGGAAGTTCTATGTTAGGATTATCTTTCAAATGCCGTTGGAATTTAACCTTTTCATCAGTTGAAAATGTGATTTTTGAAAGCTGTCTTTTCAACTACTTTCATTTACTTATATTACTCTTTATCTCTATCTCTCTCTCTCATCCTTTTGCTCTGCCTCTAAACTCATCTTTCTCGCACTCACTCTCTCTCTCTCTCTCTCACCCTATCGCTCTCCATCTCTCTCTCTCTCTCTCTCTCTCTCTCTCACTCTACACATTTCTCGCACTCTCTCTCTCTCCCTCTCTCTCTCTCCCTCTCTCTCTCTCTCTCTCTCTCTCTCTCTCTCTCTCTCTCTTTGCCCCCTCTCTTTCTCACTCCCCCCCCCCCATGACTGGATCAATCATGAGCATGTTAGCCCTGAGAGGTCAAAATTAGATAAAATAAAACAAAAGAACAACATCGCTATATTTTGTTGAAAGACAGAAACTAACTCTGCAATTGTTTAATAACCGAAACGCAGAAGTAACATTCTAATGATCACAAATTTAAAAGCACACTAAAATAATTGTTTCCAGGTTATATTATTATCTGTAAGACAATTCAATATTGCATTTGCAAGAAGGAGCATGGAAATTATCAAATGTTTCTAATTTCTCTAACTGATAACTCATAAATGTTATTGTTGAAATCCATCATAGCGAAAAGTTAAATGTACAAATTTATATAAAATTTAGCAAGATGAAATAGAAATTACATATTTCTTATGTACTCAATAGAAGTAGAAATATCCAAACTCATTGAGAGTGCTCCTTTCCACAACTCGAGATGGCGCTATTACTAAAACAAAGAAGGTTACACTGGATGTTTTTTATCTTTAAATCTGAATGAAACGCTCAAGGTACCTCACTGCAAAGATGTGGTTCAACTTTGATATACACCAGTGAATTTTTTGTCATTCATTCCATAAATTAATCATCGACACAGACATTGCTGGAGTAGTTAATGAATTTGATGACAATAAAACAAAATTTGGACAAACAATCAAACATAGTGTTTGGTTAGAACTTTGATGAGTTCTCTTTCAAAATTCCCCATAAGTACTGAAAGTCTGATACCAGAATTTTTTTAAAGGAACTCCATGACCATTATCAAATCTATGGTCTCCCCCAAACATTTGCAATACCCTGAGATAACAGCAATTTCATACAAGTACCTGGCTTGAACACAGAATGCTGCATTATATACATATACTGTATAGTCAATCAATGGTAATTTTTTACTCAATTGCCATATAAAGCCAAAGAAGACAAGTACTGTGCATGTATGTACACTGATTTCTGTGTACAATTTACCAGGAGGGAGATACAAAAGAGGTAAAATTCAAAACGGTAAGAATTAAATATACACCAAAGCAAAGAAATGTCTAAATTCTAATGCATAAATAACATGTTGGGTTGGGGTTACATATTCGTGGACAAACTAGTACTTCAATGCAACCAAAGCTTACTACATGTACAGTACGGTCAGTTTATGTATGATAGTACAGAGTGTGTGGAAAAACTGGAAATGGATACTACTAACATTTTACAGTAACATAAAAGAGCATATATCAAACAGGGAATAAATAAAACTGTCCAGAGACACCCGTATATGGGAACGAATAACACAAACTAAAAAATTAAAAAAAACACAGAGAGACTGCACGAAGTAATTACAATGTAAATTTAAATTCTTTGAATTAATTGATAAGTCCCATTCAGATAGGACGCATGCTAAACCACGTTGGTTCACTTATCCTTGTGTTATGAGATAAGGAATGTGAAGTATATTTGCACTACAATATGTATTTTCTTTCCAGGGTGGTACATAATTCACACTCAAATAAAATTTTAAAAAATTAATTTTCCCACTGTATTTTTAACCATTTCAAGTTTAATACTAAGAATGGAATGTCTAAACATTGATTGAATATATTAATATAAATAATTGTAATCTTCATGACTATTTTACAAGATAGCACATTTTTCATAAAAGCAGTCCAAGCCTCAATCAAGGTATACCCGAGTCTTAACTTTATAGTCCAATGATATGATGTAATGAATCTTATAATTGTTATCACTGCCATGACTCCTCTGGAGAGTGGAATGAAAATGAAAATAGAGTGAAATTAACCCTTTTCTTGTTACAGAGCACTCGAAAATCAATCGTTATACACTCCTTAGCAAGTGATCACTGACGCAACTCCTGGGGGAGTGATAAAAGGGTGAAAATTCACCCCCTTTTTTTTCTCTAGAGAGAGCAACACAGTTTCCTTTTATACATTCAAATATTGATACTTGGCACTCCACACATTTTATCAATACCATTAGCATTTATAAAACAATTATATGAATACAGAGTCAAATTATAACTTTAAAATCGCAATCAAAACATGTCAGCTGTAGAATAATTAAAACATTTCAAGTGATTTATTCCAATTGCTAACTTTAGGTAAAACAATTATATTGTCAACAACTGGTTGCCCAAGACAGAGTAAGAGGAGCAACTCCCAAACACTACAGTTATACATTCAGACACAAGTAGATAAAACACTCAAAAACATTACAGCAGCAACAACACCAAATTGTAAACATGCTGTGTTTCACATTAATTGATCCTGGGTACATTATGTATATTATATATTTATGAATATTATTAGGTAGTACCCATAAGGGCCACCTATGCACACATCCCTGTATTTCCTCTGTCACAACACTGCTCTAGCCATTCATTTCACACTTACAGTTTATTCATTGTTTTGTATTCTTCTTCTTTTTGAGGTACATTACAGTTTTGTGCTTGAATGGGTTTACAAGTACGTGCTCACCCGTAACATAACGATTATACCGACATGTAATACTATTACCTATACTACACTCACACTGCAACTGCACTCTCAAGTCTAAATACATGTAAAATGGAATAAATACAACAATTCTTTTCCATGTACACATCCACATCCAAGAGGCTTAAATCATCCCAAGAACCAATATTTTATTCTCTGGTGTGGCTTGGTTAGTGTGTGGAAAATAACGGTTATCCGTCTGTTTGATATTAATGTAAATGGGGTGTTAAGAAGTGATTCGCCTCGGGCACTAATGTGAGAAAGGTGACTTTTGATACTTTGGGAGAAAATGACTTTTGGAAAGTAAGTCACGTCCATTTGCCCTTGGAACCTAGTACATGTACATGTAGTATCTAGTTCTCTTCAATGTTACTACAGGTTACATGTTAACATCGATACTGAGTAGCATCATGTTTAAACTATAGCTACGAAAATACAAATGTATTCCTATCCATACAGACAGCACATTTGAAAGCAGGATCGTGTACGCACATCGACTAAAACAAATTATGAAACTGAAAATTTCTTATACATAAATGCCATGTACTCTAGCAATTTTCTTGGCAAGTGAAAATGCTGGTACCAATTACCAAGATATGTGTGTACACATGTTGACGGCAGAAAAAGCCATAATATGCATTAGGAGCATGTGCATGCACCTGCTACATTGTATTGTTTACAGGTACCTCTAAAATAAATTCACAACGGAATTTAAAAGTGGTTGAAGGATGCAAGAACTTCATACATGGTGCCAGATGCACAAAACAATTAACCGTAGCAGAATAGAGGCCAACAGTAATTAATACATAACACATTACCTGCCAATTTAGATTAAGTCAAATGTGTTGAATGTAATACTTGAATACTGTATGCATGACCTGTTTTCACTATGATATGGGAACAAGTTCGGACACATACTTGTAGAAAATAAATTCCAGATTGTCAACAATATCCTAAATTCTGAGGAAATTCAAGGGCTTACATTTCTTTGTGCGAGAAATTGATATTTTCCAATTAAACAAAATAATGTTTTGACAGCTGTTACAATTCTTCCCATTCATTAGTACATGTACATGTACATGTACATGTATACACACACATTGTAACGAGTAACAAGAAACTGTTGCAATCCCGAAATCATCATCTATTTGGCAAATGGTCTGGAATATATATCAAGTTTCATACAGCCAGGATATCAATGAACTTTTGCAAGTTGCAAAATTTCTTGTCTTGAAAATGGCCGTCATGCACAATTTAAAGAAGTTTCAGGTGGGGTAAGTTCCTGGTTTTACAAGTATAGATAGTAAATTGACAAGTTAGATTAGATCTACTTCTTCATGGCACCAACGGCATTGAGGAGATCAATAGGAAGTGGAAAGATGATGGTGGAGTTCTTCTCTGCTGCGATGGTGTTGAGAGTCTGCAGGTACCTCAGCTGAAGGGCACATGGGGACTCTCCAATAGTATCTGCAGCTTCCTTCAGGGCACGAGCAGCATTCTGTTCTCCTTCAGCAGCTATCACCTTAGCCCTGGCCTCTCTGGAAGCTTCAGCTTCAGCAGCCATAGCTCTCTGGAGCTGGACAGGCAAACGAACATCCTTGATCTCTACGCGCTCTACTTGGATACCCCAGGGGTCGGTGTCATTGTCTAGGGTAGACTGCATGTAATGACTGATGCCTTCACGTTCTGCTAGGATCTCGGCCAGGTTCTTGGTGCCCAGGACATTCCGAAGTGTTGTCTGAGCCAGGAGTTTGGTCGATCTGCCTGCATCTTCCACATTGGCGATGCTGACGGTAGCATTCTTGACACGGTAGAAAACCACTGCATCCACGGAGATGGTCAGACTATCCCTGGTCAGAATCTCTTGAGGAGGAATATCAAACGAAATGGTACGAAGATCCACCTTGCGATAATCTTCAATACAAGGCAGGATGAAGAACAGTCCTGGCCCTTTAGCACCGCCAGACAAGAGACGCCCAAGTCTGAAGATAACTGCTCTTTCGTACTCCTGCACCACTTTTATGCAGACAAATAGTGAAAATGGCAGCGTGCAGATCACAACTAGCATAGAGATAAACATCAGTAAAATTCCACAGCAACCAGTGCTTTGTTGTGTCGTGTTAGCCCCAATAATACCCTGTTCGTCGTGATCCTGCTGAGCCTCCCATTGCCCGCGCCCGTTGTTCTCTGTCGAGCTCCTGTTCTGCGCCATCAGTTCAAGTTGACTCGAGCTATCTGGATTCACACGATTATTGCTCATATGATCAGATAATTCTTGTATTGTGTAGAAGGCACACTGCTTTCTACCACAATAAAACAGCTAAGACTAGAGTAAGATCTAGGATTTCTTCAATATTTTGAAGAAAAAATGTAGGACCTCAAGTTACGACGGATTATGTGGGTTGAAATGTGTTCATCCGCTCACGATATCCCAGCCTCATCTCTCAGCTCAGCTAACTTTTTCGATAGTACAGGAGTACGGTTAGGAGGTAGAGTATAATTATACCGTATGGGTATACCGGTATTGCATCCGGAGTACGAATACCCGTATGACACGAAGCGACGAACAACAACAAAGCAAGGCTAGACCATTGAAGAGAGAGCTTACTTTAACAAATATACGTAAAGGCTATATATAGTTTGCGCATGTTTTAGAAAGAGAAGGCTATCTTTGTAAGTTCTTTACCACGGTACGACATCTCACTTTTTGTGTGCATTGCCCTTGGTTTCGGAATACAATATTAGTCTGCAATTTCAGCCTCACCTACAAATAAAGATTGGAAATGTTTTCATAGGCAAGTCTGGATGTTGTACATAATGGCTCGGTGTAAAAATGTCAGAGGTGAAAATGTCAGAGGTAATCGTCCTCGAGGGGGGGGGGGGGGGGGGGGGGGAGGGGTGATTGTCAGTTATAGGCCTACGTTTTCTGTTTTAATTGGGGTCCGGATCAACGGGGACATTTCACCCCCCCCCCCCCCCCCGGCCCCCCCCCCCGCCAACCTACGCCTGTGCACGGTAGGTCTAATCTGCATTTTGCAATCTGGAAATCTCTGACAAAATACGCAATCAAATTAATACGGCGATAGTCTCCCGGGGTTCATTTAACCTTTAAAGCCCATCTGCACTAGTTTGGCCAGGAGAGATTAGACCCCCCCCCCCCCTGCGTCACAGACAGGTGGTTATCTCATCAAACCAGCTCTCAATTAAAAAGGGGGACCATGGGGGACCAACGGGTACCGCTTAGGCATTGTTTGCTATATAGGGCGCATGTAGCTACAATATTAAGTAGTGCAGTCCCGCTTAATTAAATATTTACAAATACCAGTAGGTTATGTCTATAGTGTCAATAAATATTGCACAGACCATGGAAACGACAATCGGCCTGTTTACTCGTCATACGGTCACTCATTATTTAATTTAGCCTACTAGTAAGCCTCCACTGACCAATTTAGGTGTGAATTAAAATGCTAAATCTATATTCTATATTAAATAGCACTGCTCTGGATGACACGATAGCATGTCCATATTTTATATCAACTTTTTTGTATTCGTTTATACTTTTAAGCACGTCCAAAGGTATGCTTAAAGGCATCGTTTAACAATGTTAAATCTGAGATGCACGGCCCTACGTATTATCAGTGTCTGTGATATGGTGTAATATTGAAGCCCTAAAAAAATTACGCTTCAAAATGATCAAGAAGTGCCTCAAAAAATTAATAATCTTTGAGTGATCGGTATTACCATACTCGTTTTCCCTAAAAGACTGTAGTCTCATGAAAACCGTTAGGAAAACGCAAAATTTGATTTCGATTTCCAGTCATAGTATCTTGATAATCAGACAGGCGATCGGCTTGTAAAAGTCATGGGGTTCCGATTTCACTGCAGCGTGAGCTAAATCCAGGATTTTGTTTGAGAATCTGAGACAAAGTTACCGTCAGGAGGCAACGGAGCATAGTGTGGGACCGCCGGGGGGGGGGGGGGGGGAGGGGGGCTAGGGTGGTAATCAATGCTTCATGCTATGTATTCTAACATTTTGTATTCTAACATTTTAGCATGGGGCAACTACCCCTGGGATCTGAAACCCTTAAAGCTTATCTGCCGTAGTTTACAGGATGGATTAGACTACTCTGCAAGGTCACTGGACAGGTGGTTATCTAATTAACTCAGCTCTCAGTTAACATAAGAAAAAGAGGATCATGGGGGACTAATGGTCACCGATTAGGCATTGTTTGTTATATAGAGGGCGCAAGTAGCTACCAGTAGTGCAGTGGGCCTTTAAATGAAAGGTAGGTTTACATTACTCTCTAGGACTAGAAGTAGTTGCCCCATGCTAAAATGTTAGAGTACATAGTAGATTCTGCGGTATAGCATGAAACATTGATTAGTTACACCTTCTCTTATAAATTAATACTAAATAATGATTGAATATATTAGATTACATGCTTAGCCTAGACAAGTAAATATATTTTAGCGAGAACGCTACCTCCAGCTGTTCAAACTATACCTCCTACGAAATAAAAACCGATTTCTTTACAATATGTAAACATTTGCCCCCAACAAAGAAATTAAAGATAAACTTGAGTACTGGTAATGCGATTGCATTGTGAAAGAAAAGGTGTGGAATGGATCAGAAAAGTTGATCATATAGCATGTAAGTAATGGTGTATAATGCAAGGTTCTAGAGTCATCATAAATTTGGCAGAGTCTTGGTAAAGTAACAATCACTTACACAGATAGATGTATATGGGACAACACACATGGTGTCGGGGCTAGTACTACCCTGATTTCCTTATCTTTCTATGCTCATTACTCAGCCAGTATACATTTTCTTCCGAAATTGTTTGGCACATGACATTTATTTGTAATGTTGAACATTCAGTGTAAGTTTCGTTAGATTCTGTGAGAATTCATTTTCTTTTTTTTTACCAAAACTCAAGTTTATCTTTAATTAAATGAAAGTTGATTAACACTATTGTAAATCTGTAGGTCAACTGAATCTGGTGTTGACGAAACCATAAAAGGTCCGTCTCAATGGACTAGTGATTAAAGGGCAATTTAACCCTTGTTATAAGTTGATTTGTATGAAAGCAGAAAAATAACAACAGAATGGCCAAAATTTGAAATGAATTGGACCAATAGTAAGGAAGTTATGAAAGCTTGAAAACATGTAAGATCACATTAGGGCACTACTCAAATATATTATGGATAGCATAATATTATAGGTCCTCTGAAAAGAATAGACCCTCCTGAGCAATGAACTTTTGACAAATTTAATTTTAGTCATTTTAAATGTTGGAACAGATGGGAAAGTAGTCTGGCACTACATGTTTGACATTACCGCTTTAGCCAATTTGAACAAAATTTCATAAATTTCATTTCAAAAATTCATAACTTTCTTATATTTAGTCAGATTTAATTGAAACTTTCATCAGTTTGCTTCTCTGATTTTTCTGCTTTGTTTTAGAGTAGTCGTTTAGTTGGGTTGGATTTTCCCTTTAAGGCAAAGGCGTTCTAAGCCAGATGACCGGGTTCGATTCTCGGGGAGGCAATGTTTTAACTTATGTTGAAATTTCAAAAGGGAGGACAGCATTGGGGAACTTTGATCTAAGCTCCGCAACCTTATTCTCTTATTTCCTTTTGCATTGTATTTCTTTCTAAGAGGATTAATTTCCAAATCTGGAACTTACATAGATCTTGTAATTATAAATATATATTCTTTTGGTCGGCCACTTAAAAGGGTCACTTTCCTTCTGGCTGCTACCTATATCAAGCAACTTTTATATTGTTGTACCGAAATATAGTTCTCTGTATAAGGTTTATCTGTCTAGGAACAATATTATATATGCCGTATTTTGTTAGTCTGGCAGACAGTGCATAAATCATTCTAAAGAATCCAATCACATCTCACTTACTATGTACAAAAATGAAACTTATAATTTGTTAGATAATTAGGACAATCATTAAGTTGTTTTTTTCTTCTTGATATGTAAATGTGTTGTACTCTCATACCCCAGAAAGGGGCCGTAAGAGTCAATACATTCTATTCTATTCTATTCTATTCTGTTCTATTATATTATATTATATTATATGTATATATGTTATTTTTCAATTGCTTTGGTAAAATGAAGTTGAATTGAATATTTTTTATTCATTTTTTTGTTGGTAAAATAACCATTTCTGGTCTTCTTTATTTCCTCATAATAATATATACATCTTCACATTTTCAGCATTTGCCTCCATTACTGGAGGGATATACAAGGTTTTCTACATGAAATACTTTCTTCTATCTGTTAACGATAATTTAAGAGGTAAAACAAAATATGAAGAAGTCTCTGTTTTGTTCTTTTCTTTTAAATTCTTTTCCGCGGCTTTTGTAAATGGTAAAAAGTGCATAATTCAGAATAATATCAACATTTTTTTTCTTCTTTTAATTAAATTCAATACCAAACAAATTAAACATAACATATTTCTTTATATTCTTTTAAACTTCTTTCCAAAACGTCGTGACTTCTTTACGAGAAAAGAACATATGCATACAATCACCTGGTTGATTACAATAATTACATTGTTCAGTGGCATTTAATTTCCATTTAAACAAATTATTTGGTATCACCAAAAAAGGTGAATTTAAAATTAAAATGGATCAAATAAACTGTCTTTTATACTTTTTAAATTAAATATCCAAACATCTGACCATACATGTATAGATTCAATTCATAAATCATTACGCCAAAACTCCTCCGCTCTAGATTCTTCGATTTTTATTTTAATCAACTCATGATATATTATTTGAAGTGTCAATTGTCTTACTGAAATCATATCATCAACCAATTTCATATCATTATATACAAGAGTTGTGGATCTCAATTTCATATACTCTCTATGTTCGACATTCGCATCTGCCAGTACTAAATTTCCAAGTGATTGAATCGCTCTTCAAATACTATTTTCGCACCTAACTCATCAACTGGTATAAAACCTTTGCCATCCATTAAATCCCCACCAAACAAAATGTCAGAATTTATCCGATTCCTATAAAAAAAAAAAAGAAGCATTTCCCTTTATACATTACAATTTTATTCAAATCATTTCTCTACGATAGCTATCAAAAGTACCTGATCGAACCTTTCTTGAGTAGTAGTAGCTTTTAAACAAGAAAAAGGTCATAATTAAATTATAGTACAAATGAGGCATCGTGTTTTCCAGAAAACTTACGTCTTTTAATATTATATTTACAATTCATTATAACCTTTATACCACCAAAGTTGGATTGAATATATAGAATATATCTGTTATGTCATTACACTTCATAGGGCCTTTAACCCGAGTTCATTGTTCCTCCCAGGTACATGCACATGATGTAGGTGAAATACGCCAAATAATAATATTTAAGTGTGTGAAAGATAAATTTAATCCACCAGTCTGCCATGCTAGTCCAAAGATGACCGCGACATCAATAATCAGAGAGCACTGCATAACACCGACTGCTCTACTCTGCGGGTTACTATTGGCAACATGCCTTAATGTATTCAAATAATATGAATCTTTCTTCCAGGACAAAGGTTATCCTGCTCGTCGTGACGCGGTCACGTGTGTCTAATATGCTATCATCCTGCCTACAGCCTTCCAGCGAACATTGGTGCTCAGTGCACGTATAGCCGTGGTCGTATTAATGCTGTACATGTACTCGCTTATCGTTGGTAGACGTGCTTTACCACAGGATATTTTACTCGTTTTACTGTCTGTTATCATCGTTAACACCGTCCTAAGATTTAATCTCTCTGCACTTCGCACAATAATAGAGAGGACAGCGTAGATACGTCTCGAGTCGTGCAATCCACATCATATGCCTTACAGTGTGCACAAAGCAGAAAATAACGTACATTTTTGTTTAAACCAAGAAACTGTGACGATGGCGTCGAGAGGTAAAGATGATTTTGGTGGCGAGCCGTTATCATCTCAACGTGAAGTGATTGGATCCAGCAACTCAGCATCAGAAGAAGGCATGGGATGCTGTGGAATGATACTCACAGTTCTTTCATGGCTTCTTCTGATCTGCACGGTGCCTTTCTCACTGTTTGTCTGCATAAAAGTGGTACAGGAGTACGAAAGAGCAGTTATCTTCAGACTTGGGCGTCTCCTGTCCGGCGGTGCTAAAGGTCCAGGACTCTTTATCATCCTGCCTTGCATCGAGGATTACACCAAGGTAGATCTTCGTACCATTTCGTTTGATATTCCTCCTCAAGAGATTCTGACCAGGGACAGTCTGACCATCTCCGTGGATGCTGTGGTTTTCTACCGTGTCAAGAATGCTACCATCAGCATCGCCAATGTGGAAGATGCAGGCAGATCTACTAGACTCTTGGCCCAGACCACGCTGCGTAATGTCCTGGGCACCAAGAACCTGGCCGAGATCCTGGCCGAACGTGAAGGCATCAGTCATTACATGCAGTCCACCCTAGACAATGACACCGACCCCTGGGGTATTCAAGTAGAGCGCGTTGAGATCAAGGATGTTCGTTTGCCTGTCCAGCTCCAGAGAGCCATGGCTGCTGAGGCTGAAGCTTCCAGAGAGGCCAGGGCCAAGGTGATAGCTGCTGAAGGAGAAAAGAATGCTGCTCGTGCCCTGAAGGAAGCTGCAGATACTATGGCAGAATCCCCAGCGGCCCTTCAGCTGAGGTACCTGCAGACTCTCAACACCATCTCAGCAGAGAAGAACTCCACCATCATCTTTCCACTTCCTATCGATCTTCTCAAAGGCATCATGAAGTAGAAGATCATAATGTTCACACAACCACTCAGAACCATCGATGGTATTCTTAATCAGATACTACGGGAGAAAGTTCACTTCTGAAGGAGTTGATTTTCAGTTTCCAGAACTGTTTTACTCAAATCACTTTTCTAATGAGGTATACTATTCAACATATTCCCATATTCTGATCGTTTCATGTAATATGCATTTGTAACGTTTCATACTGCCATGGACCTGCTCCGAGTCGAGGGTATTGGGCAATCAGGATCGTCGATCCAGGGGCCGGGGTGGGTAAAAAGGTGGATTTTTCGATTTCGATTTTTCGTCGTATTTGCCGTCGGCGAAACACCGGAATGTGCGAATGATCGACGATTTTGGGGTGCAGTCTAAATGCAGCTATTGTATAGTTGTGATGGACCTACATGCAATATTTAGTTTAAAATCTGTAATGATTACTCGAGTCATGAAAATCGTAAAATACTAAAATATCAAGTTTTAAAAAAATATTATCACGTAATCAAACGAATCTTGCTCTGCATGTTAACATTTGATAATACCTGCCTAACGATTGGTAAACTTTCGTTTGCTTAGTTATTGATGACGAGATTTTTTTTTCATGCAGAGGTTGTATAAAAGACATTGGTAATAATTATAAATTATAAATAGGCTGAATGTACTTTTTTCTTCTTTGCCTCATCAGAGGATTTATCAATTATATATACATGGTTACATTTAAAGATACAAAACTACAAAACAAATTGACGTAATCACAAAAACATCATTATTGTCATAACAAAGAATTGAAATTAAGTTTTGCTTTGCAAAGCAATTGAATCATCATTAACATAAAAATTATACTGATAGCTTTGTTTCCCTCTCTTCTTTTTTTCTACTTAAATTACACCTAAGAGTTTTTTGGTCATATTTATGTTTGATTTACTTTCCAATCTTTTTATAATTTCCCTGTGGAAAATTTGTTTAGAAACAGCTTTTCTCTTGTCTATCCCAGTTATATTTCGATTAACAATCAATTTATAAATGGTCAAAATGAGATTGTAAAGAATAAAGTACAATGACTTTCACAATCTATTTTGAGCAGGTGTTGGATACTGAACGTGAGTATCTGTACTTTGTATATATCTCGTAATATTTCTTTCAGTTGTTTAATGAAGGGCTCAATTATTACTTTGCATTCGATAAACGCGTGATTTATATCCTCTTTTATATTACATTTTGGGCATACATCATCATTGGATATTCCTCATTTGAAAAGATTACTTCTTACTGGCAATAGATTATACAGTAATTTCAAGTTAAACTCTCGTAATTTGCTTTCCCTAATTAATTTTGTGCAAGATTACGCTTGAATACCGTAGACTAATCAATATCTACAATAAGTTTTTTTCTTCAACAAAGGCTGAATGTACTTGATTACAATACTTCTCATACATTTCTGAAGTTAATTAGTACACCGCAAATGGGAGAGGAGCTCGCAAGATACGTCACGGAGTTGCCAATTTGTGTTTGATTGATCGCATCTTTAAGTATTCAGAAGTTTCTTATTTTCAATCGACCTTTCAATGATATGTTTCTCTCATTGTTATGCTTCTATTAAAACGAACTTATTATCAGGTTGAACATCCCCTTTAAACGACCTTTACGGGTGGACCCCTATGAAAAACAACCTCCGTACAGATCAGGTTGTTCTATTCCACCTGGTAACTAAAAATGATTGAATAAAAAGCACAATAGCATTTACTTTGCTAATTAAAATTTCTTACACTAGGTCTATGATACATTATACCATGGACCTACTACTATTGTTACTTGTCACCTTCAGTGTATATATTCTTCATCCCGTTGTATTGGACAAGGTTAAACCTCAAAGGGACCTTCCACGGTTTGTTTGGTTTAGTGTCATGAATAATCAATAAACTTGCAGGTAGCGCCCTCAAGTTACTTGGGTATATAGCGTATCGTCATTATTTATTGTAAAGCAATTGCATCGTGTAACAACTTATTTATGTGTGGTGATTTTAATATGCAAACGATATTTTCTATATTTAATGTATTTTTCGATCTCATCAAACCCGATTAAAAAATAATTGATAAATTATTTGGCTCATAGATTATTTAAAAGTAGATTTATCGTTCGTTTTTATTCACTGTTATTGGTTTTTAGAACATTTCACAATACTTCGTGTGCTAATTATACTTGTTTAGTGTGATATTATATGGCATTTGTAATTTGTATATATTTTAAACTTTTACCTCATCACACCGATGATGTTATACGGTTAGAAGAGCGTTTACATGTAATTTTGCTTCTTTCAAAGTAAGGTTTGGTTACCGCAGAACTCGTTAAATCATGACAGGGTGCGTTACCTTTTAATAAACTGAAATTTTACTTATCGGCTATCAGTATTGGCAGCCGAAAATTACACTATATCAAATGTTATTGTAAATAGATAATATATATGTAAATTATAAGGGGCATTTCTTTTCATGGTAGGTTTATTTACCCATGTTCGAACGGACCAGAATTTGGAATTTTCCATTGGAACATCAATCATTTTAAAAAGAGCAAATTCAATTTAAATATGCTTTACAAACCAACACTATCTTATAAAGTGCAATGTATGTATAAATAATCTATTTACAGAAACTTCTTTTAATTTTGTGAAATTGGACATTCGATAGTCGTGACGGAGAATGATTATGGCTCATTTTCAATTCTATACAATTGCTAAAAATATATGTTTGCAATTATATATGAAAATATAATCACAATTGTAGTTCTACAATTTTGTATTCTTGTTTCATTGTTTCTTTATAATACAGAAGGGGATTTGTTTTGGATGGGTGGTAACAATTAGTGGTTACTATGGATATTTGATCCGCTGCATCACTCGGTTATTAAAGATGATGCACAGTGTTGATAAACAAACTTAAAGGAAGACGTAGATTCTTGAATTTTCTTTCTTGACCTCTAATGGGCTAATAAGGGAGTTTACAGATAGCACATGGTACAAATGACCCCAAATATCCACAGATCTTTTACAAATGGAGAAGTTCCACTTTGAGCATATTAGAATAATAACTGCCAAAGACCTAGATGTGCTTCATGAATACCTTCTGTTTGCCTTCTTGAAAAGAATACTTCCACCTGCGTATCATAGAATGTACCGTTGGTGCATATGAACAATGTTACATAACTTTCATGAGCGCATATCCAGTATTCACCTCTGTGGGTTTTACCTTTTTGGTACAAATGACCTTTATCTGCCCATGCGCAGATTGTATCTGTAAACTCCCTTATTGAAGCAAACTGATAACCGTCTTGGCCTTTATAAACCTATTTGGTGAACACATACACACGCACACACGCACGCACATTAAAACAAAATCCTTCAATTCACTGACCTTATAGCGAACACCTTGCCTTGCCGGTTTAAATAAGAATCTTATGAACTCACGATAAATTGGTTTCCCTTCTGATATTGACTCTTTGCATTTCTGTACTTACAATTACATTGAAATATATTTTCGGTATAAGTTAGGAAGAATTTAAGGAGGAATAAACTCCGTACTAGGAAGCTACCGTTTTACGTGTAATATCAAACATTCCTTAAAACAAAAGGAATATTCCCATACACAGTGTGTGCGTAATTTGTTTCGCCGTCTTGATATTTACAAATAAGCATCTTTCCATTAAAATAAACATAATTTGTTAAACGGCATAATAAACATGAAATATAAGGTCATAATAATGCTATCAGTGGAAAACGAAGTGCATTGTGATAAGTGCTTTGAAAGTCGTAAACTAAGGGTATTTGTGGGTGGGGCGTGCCCCTCCATCGAATAGCGTAAAGAAAAGCAGAAAGAGAGAGAGAGGGAGCATAAGTAGTGAAAGTGTTATGTCACGACCTCTCCCACACTTACCCCTTATTCATACATTGTTTATTCGCATTTCATCCATCTTGTAATAATGATACCTAAGACCCCCCCCCCCCCCCACCCCCGTCCGCGCAAATTTTGTTAACGCGCTAGCCTGGCCATTTTCGTGATAAATACCATAAAAGCGACTGATATATTAAAAAGAGTCTACCAGCCTACATGCGAGATGCATTATACCATTATACTACGAGTACATCATGCATGGCAATCATCAGCGAGCAACCAATGACAATTTATTCTCATGTCACCCACATTGGAATATTGGAGAAGTTTACAATCAGTCTGAATTTGTCCATTTAACACTGTTCAATATAATTATGTCTCCCTCTTTGGTGTATTATTAACCACACCACACCCCCGGTAACCGGCAAAAGTAAATTTTATTTGAATTAATGAATTAATGAAACTATTCTTTATATCAATTTAATAATTTGATATCAGACAAAGAAGAGAAACATAAAGAAATTATTGAACTCATAACATGTTATATATCGTCCTTGTTTTCGCGAAGTGACGGTAGTGAGGAAAATCGTAACGCAAAGTGAATGCAATTTTTTTTCACTACCGTCACTTCGTGAAAACAGCGACGATATGTGCATACTTAAATTAATAACTACTTAAATTCTATTTACACATATGAGTAAAGGCATTGTTAATTTAAGTAAAAGCTAGACTGGCTGCCTTTGTCCTCTACAAATACATTAATGAGGCCCCGAATGAGGCATCTACAGAATGCTAAAGACTGAAGTTATACATTAAGTGTAACTAACTACATATATATATGTGTTGGCTTTCCTGCCAGCGCATTTTTACAAGTATTATGGCGAAACTGGCCAGGCGCCCCCCCCCCCCCCCCCCCCCCCCGTCCACTATGATAACAGTGCGCCCTCAATAGTCGAACGTACTCTGCGCTCTGGGCTTTCAAAGTAGAATCCGGGGGGGGGGGGGGGTGAGACTTAATGGGCTTAATACTTCCAAGGTGTTCTTTACTTAAAACACTACTTTAATAAAATATATTGATAAGTCGTATTTGCCAAGTACTTTGTATAGGCATGGACCTACTTTGTAGATCCATGGTATAGGTAAGCATCAATTAAATGGATGATGAATAAATAAAAGTAGATAATATTATGGGAATACACAGAATTTTTCCCCTTTAGTATGATGCTCAAATAATCTTTATTCCCATCATATTTCTCCTTTTATTATCCATTTTCCATTTTATTGATGCGTACCTATACAAAGCACTAGACAAATACGACTTATCAATACGCATTTATTAAAGTAGCGTTTTAAGTAAAGAACACTTTTGAACCTTGCCCCGCAATACAGTATCTAAACATAATGTCGCTTCTTGCCCTCGAAATACCATTTCTGGCTTACCAATTATACCTACCAAAACCAAGAACTGAATATTAAAAATGCTCCTTCTCATATACTGCAAGCAAACTTTTTAATTCACTACCAATGCATGCTCAAATATATCCAATATTAAATATATTCCAAAACAACCTACGGCAACAACAGTCTATTATATGATATCGCAATGAATAAAGCCAAATTATTTATTTTATATTACAAAGTTTTATCTGAAATTGTCAACTTTTATTGTACAATTTTATGCTTTAATTACCATTTCTTTGATGTATTTATCTGTTTGTTTTTATGATGTATATAACCTTGTACATTATGATATCCACTTGATACAGGTCCCCGTTGTAAAGCAGACCTTGAGGCACTGAATGGGGCTATCCTTTGTTCTTAAATAAATAAATAAATAAATAAAACAATTAATTGATAAATAAGGAGTAGGATACAGAAAGATAACAGTGGAATAGAAATATTTTAAAATAAAAATAGAAGAGAAGAGCCGAGGAAAAACATACGAGAGACAGAAAGAAGGGGAGGAGGTGAAAGGAAAAAAAAGGAACAGGAAAAGGTGGGTAGACAGATATCATGCATAGCTTGCCTTTAAATGACTCAAAACAACATAGGAATAATATTTCCTCATCTACGGTGTTTCAATTACAAATCCCCTTTCGTGAATTATTTATTTGTATACTTCAGGGAGTGCTAACATTTTGATATTTGCCTTCATAATCAATATATGCCTACTTTTCGTAATGATGTTCTACAGTGGCGTGGTGTGGGCTCCGTCATTGGTGGGGGAGGGAGGAAATATATTTTCAATATGATTAAAATACTCTCGTAGCACCCTGGTTAAAAACGCCGTACTAGAGCGTCAACATTTGAGGGGGCAGATTGATAAGGCCAGGAGGGGATATGTCCCTTGCCCCTTTAAATTAGGAATAATTTGCATTTTTAGTGAAACGAACACGCGTTAATACTCTCTCTGTCTCTTTTCCTGTATGTCTTCTACCTTTCACTCCTATCTGCATTTCTTTTCTTTTCTGCTGTACGCTACATCAATGATGCAGATCGGATCACCCCAAAGCATTTCTCGATAATCGTTTAATGAACATCTTTCAACAGATTTTATTTAAGACTTATCATGTTGACCCCACGTTACTGATTCGCGTAACATTGTAATCTTTGAAAATCATTTTCGAGCGATCTATCTCCATATATTATTTCACGTACTTTTAACTTTCCTTTCATCTCTCCCTTCGCTCTCAGCTTTTCATTTTTGGCCATTCGATTGAGAGGGAGGGTGCGCGTGTCCCCCCTTGTACCCACCCTGTAGCTATGCCATTTGTACTATACTTGTACTTTGGTCGGTACGCATCTATACCTATACGTTTATGATATCATTGTATAAAACAACGTATCAACCACAATATAGGCCAGAATTTTTGTTCGAGCTGTGTATTCTATCACGTACTATACAGATGGCATCCAAGAGAGAAAATAGTTTAAGTGCTGAGGCATCCTCAGGTGAAGTGATCGGAGCCAATGCTTCAGAGCAAGAAACCGGTTGTTGTGCACTAGTTCTGACAATCCTGTCATGGATCATGGTGATCTGCACGGTGCCTTTCTCACTTTTTATCTGCATAAAAGTGGTGCAGGAGTACGAAAGAGCAGTTATCTTCAGGCTTGGGCGTCTCTTACCTGGCGGTGCTAAAGGTCCAGGACTGTTCTTCATCCTGCCTTGCATGGATGATTACACCAAGGTAGATCTTCGTACCATTTCGTTTGATATTCCTCCTCAAGAGATTCTGACCAGGGATAGTCTGACCATCTCCGTGGATGCTGTGGTTTTCTACCGTGTTAAGAATGCTACCATCAGCATCGCCAATGTGGAAAATGCCGACAGGTCTTCCAGACTCTTAGCTCAGACAACTCTTCGGAATGTCCTGGGCACCAAGAACCTGGCCGAGATCCTGGCTGATCGTGAAGGCATTAGTAACTACATGCAATCCACCCTAGACCGTGACACCGATCCTTGGGGTATCCAAATAGAGCGAGTTGAGATCAAGGATGTTCGTTTGCCTATCCAGCTCCAGAGAGCCATGGCTGCTGAGGCTGAAGCTTCCAGAGAGGCCCGGGCTAAGGTGATTGCTGCTGAAGGAGAACAGAATGCTGCTCGTGCCCTGAAGGAAGCTGCAGATACTATGGCAGAATCCCCAGCGGCCCTTCAGCTGAGGTACCTGCAGACTCTCAACACCGTCTCGGCAGAGAAGAACTCCACCATCATCTTTCCACTTCCTATTGATCTCCTCAAGGGCATAATGAAGTAAACAATCACCAGCTGTTTGGGCAAGTTGACATATTGTGGTTTTAAAAATGTAAAATCTTTAAAAACGATGATAAACATGCTCCCCATGTTACAGTAAGAAAGAAACTGAATGGGTCTCCCTGGATTACAACTGAATACCTGGCTCTA